GACGGTCAGGGGTTGAAGAGAGGCACTAGAGTAGGAGAAGGAGCTACAAGAGAAGTTGCAGCTTACTTATTAGATCATCCGAGATCTTCGTCTAAAGAAGCTATGGGGTTTGCCGGTGTGCCACCAACCGCTATGGTGAGAAGCTTTCACAAAGTGTACAACTTTGGTGGGGGTTCTGATACACAAGAGGCCAAAGTTGGCTCTTTGCAAATGTTCATGAAGAACAATGGAAGCTGTGAAGACATTGGTCCCGGAGCTTTCCCTGTGGAAGAAGTTCATAAGATTAGCGTCTTTGACATCAGAATGGCGAACGCAGATCGTCACGCCGGAAACATATTGACAGGGAAAGGCGAAGACGGCAAAACCGTGTTAATCCCCATCGATCATGGCTATTGCTTGCCGGAAAACGTAAGTTATCTGTACTATTCGCTCAACATTGACTGATCTTAGAAGTGACACTAAAAGTTTGCTAATTGCAGTTTGAAGATTGTACATTTGAGTGGCTTTACTGGCCGCAAGCAAAAGTTCCGTTTTCATCAGAGACTCTCAGCTACATAAACTCGCTAGACTCTGAGCAAGACATTGCGCTTCTGAAGCTCAACGGTTGGGACGTTCCCGAAGCTGTCTCACGGACGCTACGAATCTCAACGATGCTTCTGAAGAAAGGCGTTGAGAGGAACATGACGCCGTATCAAATCGGGAGCATAATGTGCAGAGAGACAGTGAACAGAGTCTCTGCGATTGAAGAGATACTGAGAGAAGCTCACAACTCTGTGTTGCCTGAGTCAAGCGAGGCTACGTTTCTTGAAGCTGTCTCTGTTGCCATGGATCGTCGTCTGGACCAGCTCTAACTAAGTAAACTTTCTTTTTAAGTACATAATGAAGTTTGGTTTTTCTTGTCTGTTTGTATATTGTATGCTATGTGTGCTTTTGTGGCTGAACAAACCTCTGATAGGCTCTTCTTGGATAATTTTTTCATTCCATGAAAGAAGCCTTTAAGCTTTTGTGTTTAAATAAATAAAACGTTTGGATCTGTTTGCTCATTCAGGATATTACATCAATCAAACCTGTTTATCTAAAAAAAATCAAAGAACTGTGAAATTGAAATGGAGTAATACTAATATGAATATCTATCTATATATCAGAGTAAAATTTGGGTCTAGTAGGGGCATTTCTGTTATTTATCTTCTAGTGATATTTTTGCAAGTTGGATCCAACCAAACTTGCATCTCTCACTTAGTCAAAGTGCAATTTGGCAGTGTGCTTCTGGTTGATGATGACTTGTGTAAATTTGTATTTTCCTTAAAATTAGATACTTTTTTCTTACACAAGGCTTCAAATAAAACAGCAAATCCCACTGAAAATGGACTTTAGACGGTTTCTCATCACCCATACCATGTGGTAAAAATACACCAAAAAAAAGATCATGTGACTTTGGATTCTTGTACATCTAACTCCATATACATATAAAAATCATTCTTAATTAATGCAATAAGCCGGTAATAAAATGAAATATGTGAATGAAGGCTTCTGTATGTCTTTTGTTTTTTGTCTTAAAGGCGTAATAATAACTCCGCTTTTAGTTTTCAGACTGACATAATAATAAATCCCATTTTACTTCACTCTCTCGCTGTCTCACTATCACTCATTCACTCTCTTTCCTTCAACGCTATACGCGTCCCCAAACACTCTTCGATCTCCGGCAATGGCAAAGCCTCACGGTGGTCGTCGTCGTCCTTCAAACCGTACAAATCTAGCGTCTTGCGCCGTCGCTACTGTCTTCTTACTCTTCTTACTCGCCGTCCTCCTTATCGTCTACTTCACCGTCTTCAAACCAAAAGACCCCAAGATCTCCGTCAACGCCGTCCAACTCCCGTCATTCGCCATCTCCAACAACACCGCTAACTTCAGCTTCTCTCAGTACGTCGCCGTCAGAAACCCAAACCGCGCCGTTTTCTCTCATTACGACAGCTCCATTCAGCTCCTTTACTCGGGTAATCAAGTCGGGTTTATGTTTATACCCGCCGGCAAAATTGATTCCGGTAGGACTCAGTACATGGCCGCCACTTTCACTGTCCAATCTTTCCCCATTTCTCCTCCTTCCTCTTCCGCCATAGCCACCGTCTCCGCCGCCGTGGTTCCGGATTCTCCGGTATTGCCTGGTCCTCCGGATTTCACCGTAAGTCCAGACTCTCCGAAGATCCCAGATTCGCCGGATTTTCCAGGAGATCCAGAAACGCCGGATTTTCCAGGGAATCCAGGTCCTCCGAGCATTCCGAGAATTCCAAGCTCTCCAGATTTTCCCGGGAACAACCCAGGCTCTCTGACGTTGCCGAGAAATCCAGGCTCACCGGAAAATCCAGGAAATCCTCCAAGAAATCCAGGGAATCCCGGGTCGGGTTTTCCGCGAAATATGGCTCCACCGGGTTTTTCAGGAATCGGAGCTCCACCGGGTTTTCCAGGAGTCGGAGCTCCACCGGGTTTTCCAGGAATCGGAGCTCCACCAGGTTTTCCAGGAATCGGAGCTCCGCCGGGTTTTCCAGGAATGGGAGTGCCGCCGGGAATTCCGGGTACGCCGGTGGGAATCGGAGGAGGGACGGGGCCAACGCTCGGGGATGGATATGCGAATCCGGGTTTCGGGAATGTGAACCGGGGCGGACCAACGATAGAGATAGAGTCGAAGATGGAGCTAGCGGGTCGGGTCAAAGTATTACACGTATTCACGCATCACGTGGTTGCTAAATCGGATTGTCGGGTCACCGTCTCAATTGCTGATGGTGCCGTCTTGGGCTTCCATTGCTAATTTCCATATTAGCACTTATTAATTTCTCCATTTTTGCTTTTTATTTATTTAGTTTTCACTCTTTTTAAACTAATTTTTTTTTCAGCTCCTTTTAAGTTTAAGGAAACTAATTAGAAATTGTATAAATTTGTTTCCCTCCTAAAGAAGAGCAACTTTAAAATTTGATTTTTGATTTTGCTAATTGTTGTTCTTTTGAGCAAATGGTCACGTTCTTTCCTTGAAATGATCCCCAAAAAAGCTCGTTTTCCTGAATTATGGCAGTTAACTTTGTTTTTTTTCTTTCTTTTGTTAAATTTGAATTATGGTCTGAGTGGTATGGGAGGTTCTACAAAGCATTGAAGATCTGTTTCAATTCCAAAAGGTCTATTTCATAAAGTAAGTGGATTTCATATAGCAAGAGAATATACCAAAAAAGAGTTTATAACTTTTGAATTTTAATTGTTCATGTATTTGTAGCTGGTACACATTTGTAATTTCAAGAAGTCAAATAAAGGAGAAAGATGAAAATAATAAAGAAAAAGTGAATGAACACTGACTGAAGTCACATCAACGGAGAGCTCCCACTATCCTTGAGATTTGTGTATTTTTCTTCAAAATATCTTTGTCCTTTTCTTGCGTTATTTTCTTCGTTTCAATAGTTAATAGGGCTTCGTTTGGTCACTGTCTTTGACGCTGCCTTTTTATCATAAAATAAGAACATGGCCTTGAAATAGCAAGCAAAACCCACTTAAAACTGAATTCAATATCTATCTTGTACAAATACAATCCCATAAATAATTTCCTAAGAAAGGTGATACAAATCCAATAGACATACGAATCCACTTACGTTAAACCTATGCGTGTGAATACATTACAAAAAGAGAAAACAAATATATTGAATATAAAGCAAATAGTAAGTTCTCCTTTACTGTGTGTGGCTTCAAATCTTAAACCTGAGAAGGAATCTGAGAGTGTAACATAAAGACAAAGAAAAATTGGTGTTGCTATGTTGTGTCTGGTGAAGCACCATAACCGAAAGGATTGTTGCTTGCCCAGTTCCATTGGTCCCTACACATCTCTTCGATTCCATAATTTGCCCTGTCCAAACATTTTGAGTTTCTTCCGTCTCAGAGGCATTGCAACAACACAAAAATTCACTTGAAAATGTAAACATATCTCTGAGTCTTTACTTACTTCCAGTTGAGTTCACGTTCAGCTTTATCGGTTGACGCATAGACAGTCTCTGCATCACCTGGTCTCCTTCCAACCTTCACCAGTGGGATTTTCTGTACACATGATCTCAAAAATATATTAAGAGCAAACACATACACTCTTATAAGAGACACAGAGAGAAGGAGAGAAGCGATGTTATACCATTCCAGAAGCCTTTTCAAAAGCATCAACCATCTCCAACACCGTTGTTCCTTTCCCAGTTCCCAGGTTGTATACCTCACAACCTAGCACAAGAGCCAACGTCAAACACAGCTGAGCAGAGCTTTTGCATATGCAACAATGAAAAACCTTACCTATCTCAGAATCTTCTAGCTTCTGAAGCGCAGATATATGGCCATCAGCTAGATCAACAACATGAATATAGTCTCGTACCTGAAGTTACACAAACTACCGCTAAAGATCAATCTGATTAAGGAGCAAAGCAAGAGGGTCTATGTGGAAAAGTCTTACACCGGTGCCATCTTTGGTGGTATAGTCAGTACCGTAGATCTTAAGGTTAGGCAGCCTCCCAACAACAACTTGCTGGACATAAGGCATGAGATTGTTTGGGGTCCCACGTGGATCCTCACCAATGCGACCACTAGGATGACCTCCCACTGGGTTAAAGTATCTCAGCATTATGATTCTCCACTCAGGATCACCACGTTGTACATCACGGCATATCTCCTCAATAAACACCTAGAAACATTTCGGGATAAGCAAGTGTACCAATAACAAATATCTACAAAGCTTTCAGTTAGCTACCTTTGTTCTTGCATAAGGACTCATTCCAGACAAAGGGGACTCTTCTGTGCAAGGACCTTCCTCTGGCCATCCATATACAGTAGCCGACGAAGAAAATACAAGCTGTGATACAGATCAATCTCACAGAAAGTTAGTTAAAAAACCAACCTTTCACATGACACAAGACACACAGTGGAGAGCACAAGCTGCATACTTACCTTTTTACATGCGTGAGCGGCCATGACTTCCAAAAGAGTAATAGTGCCAATCAAGTTATTGTTGTAATACAGAAGCGGTTTCTCCACGCTCTCTCCGACTGCTTTCAGTCCAGCGAAATGCATTACTGCATCAAACCTACATTACAATATAGCCACAATGAGCGTTGAGTCAAATTTCTGGATGATTCATTTTCTTTAGATCAGATCAGATCTGAGTAAAAAGTGAAAACTCACTTTGATTCGGAGAAAACCCTCTCTAGCGCGGGTTTGTCGCAAAGGTCCACCTGAGAGGTAAGAGATTCATTAGCCATCTTAATTTCCAAACTTTTCTCAGATTACAGGTAACCCAAATTCGATCCATCAATGAGAAGAGATTTGACCAACATTACTCCCAAATCGAGATACAAATCCAAAGAAACTCCCAATTCAGGTCATGATCACCGGAATTCGAAGCGCAAGAGGAAGAAACCGGTCAAACCTGGTGAAATGTGAGATTTTCTCCATGATCTCCGGCGAGCTCCTTGACGCGTTGGATCGCAACGAGAGAGGAATTGTCCAGATTGTCGATGACAACGGTTGTATAGCCGCGGAGGAGAAGCTGGAGCACCGCGTGACTTCCGATGTAACCAGCACCGCCGGTCACCAGAATATTCATCACCATCGGAGCTCCAAGAGTCTATCAAGAGAGAAAGAGAATCAAAAGAGAAAGCTTTATCTTTGTTTTGGACTAAAATGAGATGACACGTGGCTTTTCCGTTTGCGCTGTTTTTTCTTTGTAAACTTAGAAAATTAATTTATGTCACAATTTTCTGGAGAAAGTGGCTTTGCGTGCTTTAGCAACTACAGCCTTGCATTAACAAAATGACACAAGCAACAATCCCTAAGCATTAGTCAGGGACTCAGGGATACAAATTATAAAATTCATATTACAAGAAAACAACATTTCGGTGATTACGAAACTATATTTATATATCACATAAACAATCTATAATTAGAGCTAATGAAAAATTAACTTGTAGCGGCCGACAAACGAAGCTTAACTTTTAGCGAGATGCTCCACAAGTCTTGACCTGTAACACCAGCGTTACCATTTTAATTACAAAAACATTATTATAAAAAAAGTATTAATTTTGACAGTGAGGATATTCCAATGCAGCTCTGGAGAAAGAAAAAGATTCTTAAAAAAAAAAAAAAATTATAATACTCACCAGATTTGTTTTTAAGGTTGAGAGCTGAGAAGTCTCTCTGCCTCATCGTTTGCTTCAGCCTGTATTTTCCATTTCTGCATCTCAAACAATAAAATAAGCCCAAAGTGACATTAAACACACAAAAGTATGCTTTGCTTTGTCCAAAAATGGAACTGGAAAAATTGCAGTTGATGACAATATATACAAATGGTTTGAATGCATATGTACACACTTCTTCAAGGTTTTCGAGTTCCATGATCTGCTCTATCTGTTGAGCAATATTCTCCTGTGAAAAAACAGAGTTTTTACTTTAGTCTCATATACAGATTCATAAGTAACACTTAGGAGTAACTCACAGTGTTGTTCACTGCCTCGGCTGCAAGAACATCACTGTCCATTTCCACTTCGATCTCAATCATTGAAGATATCTGAAGATAAAAGTCAAAAGAGTTATAAAAATCAGAACATGAATTAAGATTTTCAAGATGTAAAAAGGTGTTGTTTCGTTTTCTTACTCTAGCATAGCTATCGATAAGCTCAATCTTTCCTTTTATGGAGTTTTCCAGAGCTTCTCGTACCTTCTTTACTCTTGTTCTTCGAGTCCTATATTCGAGTATGAAACACTTTTTATAAAATGTTTGTGTAAAAGCAATATCCAAGATGATCATGTTCAAATGATCCCAGAGTCATTACCGGTACGCTGGCTCTCCCACTGCTAAAATTTTGTTCTCGAGCTGGCACATTCGAGCCAACATCCACACCTAAATAGAAGACACAAAGAAGTTTCATTTGTATTCAAAAGCTTTTGGTAAGTCTGTATCATCATGGACTTAGTACCTCTTTCTCAGTTGCTTCTTTTAGATCTCTAATGCGACGCTGGAGCACATCATACTGAGATAAGAGTTGCTGTTTGATACCCACCACATCCACTGTCCGTTCAGGGAGCTGGAAAACCGTGTAAAGAGAATTATAAATACGGCACATGTTCTTCTCTCAAGGCAAGTCATGTTGATAGAGAACAGTAAGATAACCTGATTTAGCTGAGGAAGAAGAAAAGAATTGAAGGTTGCTCCGATTGCGAGTGATGTAACAGCAGCAACTGAGAGTAACTGAGGCAAGCTGGGATCAATGATGCCGGAAGCAGCATCTCCAGTAGCCAAAACAGCAAGCAGAGGAATCAGAAACGAGGGCTGCAAGGTTTTATCTCCGTCTTTACTTGGAGGTCTCAGCAAAACCGATTCTCTTCCGTCCTTGTGCTTTGTGAGGCTCATAGGTTCTCCAGAGTAAAAGTTTGGAGCTTTTGGGGTAAACTTGAAAGGTCCCACTTGTCTGTATACATTTTGAGGAGCAGCGGATGCAATTGTCACTCTTTCTCCTTCTTGTGCAGGTAGCTCGGCGGTCTCAGTGGCAAACCTGTGCGTTCTTGCTGTACCAGAAGGAGTTTGTACCTGCAATCCAATGCAATGGTTACAATATATGCAGTCTCTAATAGGAATTGAAACTGTGTTCACAATGGGGATTTGTTACCACAATCGAGTGCACGGAAGAAATGAGTTTGTTCTTCTTTATCTGGATAAGCCTGAGCCCCTTTTCCCAGAGAGGAATGTCCTTGCTGCGTTCGGCAGATGTAGCTCCTTAGAAAAAGTGAATATCTCAGCATCAAAGTCATCAACACACACACACATGCACACATCTCAATCTTTATTCTGGTAGTCTCTATAACCAAAAATAAGCTGCATCACATTTTCCCTAGAAGAGTTAGTTAACAAAGAAGAGAACTAACCCGAGCTCTTGTGATTCAATGCTGGTTATGTCACCAGAGAAAAGCTCGTACTGGTAACGGCAATTAGCGCAGGAGACAATCTACAAACATTGTCATCAAATCATCAACTCATTCTTCAAAAGAAATGTTGAGCACTAAAACCCTCAATCAGATCATCAGTACCTGAACTCCATGCTGGGGTTGTGCAACAGCAATGGCAATCAAACAGCTCGGACATCTCACAACTTTACCAAAGGGAACCTAAATCATCAGCATCAATGGCAATCAAATAGCAAACTTTTGCCAACGAAAGATCAGTTGCAATGAATTGCTTACTTACCTCCTCAGCAGGAGAGATTCCAACACGGCAAATATCTGTGATGATCCTTAGAGAATCAGAAACCCTCAAGGAAGCAGCAAGACCATTAACCAACATCGTGTAGACCTCAACATCAGGCCTTGACCATCTCCATCGATCAGTCTCACTCTCACCTGCAGAAACACACAGTCACTACTAAATTGGCTTAACCCATCAATCACTGAAACTTCTTCTCTGAGTGAAAATGAGAGAACGGACCCAAATCGAAACTCGCTCGCATGGCGTAGAAAATCGACAACGCGAGCTCGACATTGCCGCGACTGACGGCAGCGGAGATAATCGAACGGCAATCTTCGATTTCAACGATTCCTCCGCGATTGGATCCGAATCGATCAGAAATCATCTCGAGCGCTTCATCTGCATCCCTCACGGCGGATACGCTGCTTAGAAACTCCTCATCGAGAAGAGAAGAAGAAACATCGGCGGAGGCGCCGACACTAGCTCTGCTCCGGTCGCTGTAGGATGAGTGAAAAATGGGTCGCCGACGGCAGATACACGCCGGTTTGTTCCCGTGAATGAAGAAGATAGAGCGAAGAAGAGATTGAGTGTCGTGGAGGTTAGGGATGCGATAGATTCCGGAGAATACGGAAGACACTATGCGAAGGCTCATTTCTCAATCGGAAGTCACAGGCGAAGAAGACGGAGGAGCATCGGCGGTGCTCTGCTTCGGTTTGACGGAGATGAAAAATGAGAGGCTAAGAAAGAGGGAACAATACCAACGGTCTCGAATCCCTAATATATTAAAAGAGAAAACACTATAAAATAAATTTTTGTGTCAAGTGATATTAACAAAAATACGATGCTGAGGTGTCATCGTTAGGTTCATTCTCAAGGTAAGTTTTAATTAACCCAAAGATTACTAGACTAATTACAAGTAGTGTCATTCATATTATTTTGATTAGAGACATTATAAATTTAATTTGACTTACCATTTAATGAAATATTAATAAAATAAAATATTATTCTCTTTCATTAATTAGTACATACAGAAAATTAATAAATAAGGAATATATGATATGATATTCATCCCCCTAATATATTAAAAGAGAAAACACTATAAAATAAACTTTTGTGTCATATGGTATTAACAAAAATACGATGCTGAGGTGTCATCGTTAGGTTCATTCTCAAGGTAAGTTTTAATTAACCCAAAGATTATTAGACTAATTACAAGTAGTGCCATTCATATTATTTTGGTTAGAGACATTATAAATTTAATTTGACTTACCATTTAATGAAATATTAATAAAATAAAATATTATTCTCTTTCATTAATTAGTACATACAGAAAATTAATAAATAAGGAATATATGATATGATATTCATCCCCCTAATATATTAAAAGAGAAAACACTATAAAATAAACTTTTGTGTCATATGGTATTAACAAAAATACGATGCTGAGGTGTCATCGTTAGGTTCATTCTCAAGGTAAGTTTTAATTAACCCAAAGATTATTAGACTAATTACAAGTAGTGCCATTCATATTATTTTGGTTAGAGACATTATAAATTTAATTTGACTTACCATTTAATGAAATATTAATAAAATAAAATATTATTCTCTTTCATTAATTAGTACATACAGAAAATTAATAAATAAGGAATATATGATATGATATTCATCCCCCTAATATATTAAAAGAGAAAACACTATAAAATAAACTTTTGTGTCATATGGTATTAACAAAAATACGATGCTGAGGTGTCATCGTTAGGTTCATTCTCAAGGTAAGTTTTAATTAACCCAAAGATTATTAGACTAATTACAAGTAGTGCCATTCATATTATTTTGGTTAGAGACATTATAAATTTAATTTGACTAACCATTTAATGAAATATTAATAAAATAAAATATTATTCTCTTACATTAGTTAGTACATACAGAAAATTAATAAATAAGGAAGATATGATATGATATTCATCCCTAATATATTAAAAGAGAAAATACTATAAAATAAACTTTTGTGTCATATGGTTTTAACAAAAATGCGATGCTGAGGTGTTATCGTTAGGTTCATTCTCAAGGTAAGTTTTAATTAACCCAAAGATTACTAGACTAATTACAAGTAGTGTCATTCATATTATTTTTGTTAGAGACATTATAAATTTAATTTGACTAACCATTTAATGAAATATTAATAAAATAAAATATTATTCTCTTTCATTAATTAGTACATACAGAAAATTAATAAATAAGAAAGATATGATATGATATTCATCCCTAATATATTAAAAGAGAAAACACTATAAAATAAACTTTTGTGTCATGTGATATTAACAAAAATGTCATGCTGAGGTGTCATCGTTAGGTTCATTCTCAAGGTAAATTTTAATTAACCCAAAGATTACTAGACTAATTACAAGTAGTGCCATTCATATTATTTTGGTTAGAGACATTATAAATTTAATTTGACCAAATATTAAACCAAATATTTTTAATTTAATTATTCAGAACATTAGATTCGAATATATCATTTGTTTTTTACTCGAATATATTAGATTCTGTAAGTTTTGCATTTTGTTTTTTTTCATATAGTTTTAAAATTTAGTTGTTATTTACGTGAAATCTTATATAGACTCATAGTGAATAGTTTCATATGTTTTTTGTTCTTTTATACAATAATTTATCGACTGGAGTTGAGTTCTTCTAATTTTCCTTATACTAACAATCATTATAGATTGATTATTATCCTACAGACTCATAGATAATAATAATTGCAATCCTTTTTAAAAGGAAATGAAATGAGCTAATTAGCCAGTAAGCCCATTTAAAGCTACCATGGAAACGAAGAGGTCCGATAAATAATCAAGCCATCAAAACGAACAGCATTACACATAATTTTGATTTAGATTTTTTTTTTTTTTTTAATACGAAAACGACGTCGTTTTGGTGTAAGACGAAAAAAAAAAAATAAAGCGCAAAACGACGTCGTTTTGGTGTTAGGCGAAAAAAAAAAAAAAAAAAAAGAGTGCCACGTGTCAAAGGCTGAGATTGTCCAAGCCTTATTAGTTATGTAGATTTGACTAACCATTTAATGAAATATTAATAAAATAAAATATTATTCTCTTTCCTTAATTAGTATATACAGAAAATTAACAAATAAGGAAGATATGATATGATATTCAATATAATTGTATCATAATAATAGTTTCTTTAAAAATCATTACATATTTCCTATTATCTTTGTTTAAATGTATTTATAAAACAATTTGAATCACAATATTAAAAATATAACAAAGAAAATCGATTTTTTTTATGTATATGCTATGATTTAAATTTTTAAAAACAACATAATCACTTAAACTTCAGAAATATATTATATATACGGTCAAAGCTTTATTTTGTTTACCTTTTTCATAAAATGGTTTAAAATGTTTAATTTTCACATTATAAACAAATACAATAACTAAACCAAGGTAAAAATTTCATCGCATAAAATTTAAGATAGTTAAATAGATATTTTTAATAAAAATACAACTTCAGAAACCATCACCTCCGTGCAGGACGCGGGTCAAACCCTAGTGATTTTTTGTTTTTCGTTTATTGCTTTGATTGATCCTGAGCCGTTGATTTAACGAGAAAGGCCAAACAAAAAGGAAGGATCTGACGGCTGGGAATGAGAGATGTTTTATTGAATCAAAAAAAAATGGAGATGCGGGGAATCGAACCCCGTGCCTCTCGCATGCGAAGCGAGCGCTCTACCATATGAGCTACATCCCCAAGTTGTTGTAATAGCAAGAATTTATAATTTTATACATTTGTTTACTGAAATACAAGATTCACTCCAAGTGTTCTTAAGGAAAATGATTTTATAATGTTTTTGGTTTGTCACAGATTTATATTGACTAGAAATGACATTCTAAATTTAGATTATTTTTATATGCAATATCAAACAAACATAGATGATACGAGATGACTTTAGAAATTAATCGGTCAACGTAGTATTCATCTCAAAATATGTGAAGTGATACAAAAATGTTATTTTCTTGGTCAAACAACAAAATGTCATCTAATTTCAACTTATCATGACCTGAAACAATGATTTGGAATCGATATACAATGATCATACTCATTATCATCATAGATCCTATGTTAAGCATCTTTAGGACTTCATCTATCCATCTCTTGAACTTCTGGACACTCCACAATGCTCTCTAAAGATGGTTCCCATGCCATCGATGATGGTGATGATGATAACAATGATGGTGATGTTCTTCTGATCCTCTTTTCCAGCTCTAACATAACATCTTTGGACATCATTAAGTTTTCACCATGACTTCTATTCATCTGAAGCAAAAACAAATCCAATTCGTGTCTTGTAAGCACTATCTTCACCTTCATTCCACCATTACCATCATCAGCACCATCAGGTTTAAAGGATCCTTGTGCCCTTTCTCTTACATCTATCTTTTCTTCTTCTCCTTCTCTTTGCCTCCATCTCTCCATGCAATTACCCATTATTACCACACAAAAAGTATGACAAACCTCGAGAAAAGAAAAAAAAAACGGATTTGCTTTCTCTCTTTACTTTGAAAATAAGTGAATGGCATGAGTGTGAAAACGCATGTATATATAGAGGGACGAAATATTAAATACAATCAAATCTTTTTACTGATTTGTCTCTAAAAAGCCTTTTAAATTTCCCAACGACTCTCATTATTAATCTAAGAGACAATGACATATTTGAGAATTTAATTACACTAAAAAGGATGATAAATAATTTGGCTATATGTGTTTTAAAACCATGAATTACATTGCATGGAGTCTAGATATGACATATACTTTAGACCATTTATAATTGAAAAATTCTCACAAAAAGACAAACCGTTAGGTTGATGTCGACTTCAACCGCTCGGACCTTGTTGCCCGACAGAGTCACGGACACAATGCAAAGACTTTTTAGAAGCAGCTTTTAGTGAACACTAAATCGATTTACAGATTTAAAACTTTTATCTTTTTTATTTTTTGACCAAAACAAATGTTTAAAGCACACTATGCAAGCATAATTCAAACTCATAGACTTTATTTTTTTGTTTGATTATCTATTTTCTTCAGTGTAAAAATCCGATCACGTGCTTGGACCAAATGTGAACACTAGTAATATACTCCTAATTTTACATGCATAAGCACCGATCATTATATATACTTAAAAATCGAACTAGTTGGTTCCATATATGTCATTCATGTACAAGTAGGAATTTCTGTCACCCATCCCTCAATACATTAATGTTTCTTAGTACAAAATATAAATTCGGGTGTTCTTACAAATTTATATTCGATTTACGAAATAATTTATTGGTTTTCACAGAAGAAAAAATATATCACTCTTAGAGATCACCGGAAATTAATGAAGTGTTGGGAGACAAGTGCCAGATTTTAGGTATGACTTTGACGACATTATTGAGTAATTTAAATAGCCTGATGTCATACGTGTACAATTTACTTAAAATTATTATTTTTCCTATTGGCTGTCCGACATAATATGCGTTACATTTCTACTTCAACTTAGCTTAGTTTGAAATATGGACTGATCAACCATACAAAAAAATCAACCTTAGTTAATTGGTTTTTGTTGTGGTTAGTCATATTCATTTGAATTATATGGTTAAATTTGTCTGTAATTGTTATTCGATGTACTTTCGTTACTTTGAGTAAATTAGTTATACAATCATAACAGAAAACCCAACTTAAGGCCGGTTCGGAATATAATTGTAAATTCCCACTCTAATAGTGAATCTAGTGGGCTATATAATGTAACTTATGGACCTACACTAAAATGACATTACATTAGAACATGACAGTGATATTTTTTAGCTTTGCAATGTTTCTCAACGAAGAAGAAATTGTGTGGATGGTGGGCTCGGATTGGGCCGTGGAAAAGCACGCCGTAAGAGTCTCCGAGCCCAAATTTACTTTCACAAAGCGAATGATTTTACATATCCCTTTACTTGGTGAAGTATATTCGACTAGACCCATTTTCTTGGTCGTTGAAGTAGTCATAGAGAATTCTTCCATATACTATAAGGACTTGTTGTTGTTGCTGTCTTGTTGAACTAAATAATTTCGTAATACAAGTCGATATTTCTATAGAAATGTAATACGAATCTTAATGGATGTGGTATTGGTTTGAAACATTCAAAAGAATAGGGAGACTTTTTTCTCTCCATCTGTCTTGAAACCAAAGGCACAAAACTCTATCTTTAGAAGAATTCAAAGTCAACCGGATAAAATTCAGACGAAGGTTAAAACGACAAATAAGTCGTCGTACCATTCTTGGTTGCTTATAATTAAATGAAGGAAACAGTCTCGTACGGAGTTTCGTTACGCGTTTTAGTCTTGTTGCCTATTCATATGATCATTTTTTATACACCTCTAGATTATTTAATACACATGGATCTGTGACTGTGATGTACAGTTAGCAGCTTAATACTAAAAGTGGTCCGTGATTGATATATCGAACAATTCAATTGCCTAGATAGGTATTCGAACTAAATCAAATGCGACGTGACGGAAACAATCGTAATGACCTCCTATCTATAAATCTCGTTTTTCTTGCATAAGTTTCTATTTTTATATCCTACAATGTTGTCCACAAAAAAATGCAGGACATGAAATTATAGTTCAACTAACAAACTAAGGAACATAAATGGCGGTGTGAAAACATAATACGCAAAAGGATTCATGACACATTTGAAACGTAACTTCTAGTTGCAAGAATTATAGCTCCTATCATATTATGTTTCGTTTTTTTTAACATAATTTTGAGTAAAGATAAGATTAGATCAAATGTTTCATTACTTAATCAGTTACTCTCATGCCACTTCCACACAAATCTTGTTTTGTTTCAGTACCCCTAATTTTTGTTGACAACAAGTTAATTTTTGTTGGCAACAAGTTATATCTTCTTCAACTTTATCAAAAATACATGTTCAAGACAGCATGGGTTTTAAATTGTAATCGTTATGGTTAACCACTATGTTTAGTATTTTTGTATATAATTAATTATTTTAAAATGTCATATGGCCTCTATAATATTCGGTTAGCAATATAATATTTACCGTTCTACGAAAGCCAAATCTCAATATCATAAGCAAGTAAGCAACTATATATATCTTGCAGATGTGTGCTGTTAAGAAAACTTGGTACTTTAATAATTAACATAATCTAAAGATATTTTTTTTGTATAATAATCAAAGTTTAGAGGTCTATGTCTTAAGAAGAAAGGAATAACATGAACACCATGCTTTTTTTTTTTTGTTATATATTCAACTCTCTTGATTTTTTCTAGAAAATGTTGACTTAGTGAAAAAATTATCATCTCGTTATAACGGTCAAGAATAGTCATATTTAGTTCATAAAATATGAAGGGAACAAAAAAAGAGTTTATTATACCAATTTGTATATATACCCAATACAAAATTTAATAAGCCATTTATTGGAAGAAAAATATAACCTAACAATTTTCTTTAAAAAGACCACCCAAACATTTCAGTTACCCTCGTGTTGTTCAAATCTTTTTTTCCTCCATTATAACATTCACACGCAAATTTCAAAGCTTCTCTACCTTCTTTTCTACAACTCAACGAACCAACCGTCATCCATACGTACTGTATATATATACACACAACACAAACGCATAGAAAATTTATATACATATACAGAGAAACAAGAAGATATAATGGCGACAAATCGGTACATCGTTGAGGTTGAGAAGGGAAAGGAAGGCGTTGGTGGTGGAAGTCCATCGGTCGGTTCGGTTTACCGGAGTATCTACGCTAAAGACGGTTTTCCTGAACCGGCCGATGATCTCATCAGTTGCTGGGATATTTTCCGGTTAGATATCTCTCTTCTCTTAGAGGACAAAACTATCAAAGTCTACCTTTGACTTCACTGTTTCTTCTTTTTTTTCTTTTTCAAAGTTTGGTATTTCATTGTTGATGTTGGTGTAGAATTAACAGAAAGCTATTTCTATGGTAATGTTATAACAATATTCGAAGTTTTATGGAGACTAAAAAAAAACAAAAAAATGTAAAACTTCAAGTCTTCAACAATATAGTGTCCCTTACAAATTATCATTGCAAAAGTCTAGTCAATTTGATTCTCGTTGACTTTGACATTCATATGAAGATCGCAATGTAGCAATGTAATGAATCAAAAATGTGTAGTTACCTTCAAATGAGATCTTAGACAATGAATGAGAGACCATGGACTCAGCTTTTGTGCCTCTGTTCATGGCTATTAATTGATAATAAAAAAAAATTTGTCATGAATGAGACCATGCAGCTTTTGTGCCTCTGTTCATGGCTATTAATTTATAATAACAACAAAAATTGATATGAATTTTTTTCTGTGGTTGTTTTGTTCTGATTACAGTCTATCTGTGGAGAAGTCTCCAGATAATCCTATGCTTGGTCGTAGAGAAATTGTTGATGGAAAAGTAAGCAGTCATAAACTTCATTATCCGACTTAATCAGAATTTTAACTAACGCAATTTTGTTTTTTTTCCACCGACAGGCTGGTGACTATGTATGGCAAACTTACAAAGAAGTATATGATGTAGTGATTAAGCTTGGAAACTCTATCCGAACTATTGGAGTTGGAAAAGTAATTACTGTCCAAAACAATTCATTTTTGACATGTATTAGTGTTTCTACAGTTATCTTAATTTCAACGTTTTGTTGTCCGCAGGGAGAGAAATGTGGTATTTATGGCGCCAATAGCCCTGAATGGATTATAAGCATGCAGGTAATATGAGAGTGACATCATATTCATTTAGCTTTAAGTTTTAACCTATAGTTGTAAATAATTACCAGAAACTATGGTGATAAATTAATAATATGTAATCTGTTTTTAGCACATTATGGATATTCTGCGGATTTTTTTTAGCTATTAGACAATTTGGCTTATTATTTCAATGTTTATCTTTCATAACCACATTTGTTTTCAATTATTTCAGGCTTGCAATGCTCATGGACTCTACTGCGTACCATTATATGACACTCTAGGTAACATTCGTTTGTCTATTAAGTATATAGTTGATTTTTTTCCAATACGATCAAATTTATGCATGTACAATAGTTTGGATCACTGAAGCTGAAACTTTGGTCATGAGTTAGGTGCTGGAGCAATAGAATTCATCATTTGTCATGCTGAAGTGTCACTTACTTTTTCAGAGGAGAAAAAAGTGTCTGAGGTAATTTTTTAGCCTGTTTGATTAGGTTCTGAGAGCATGTCAGATTTCTTCAGTAGCTAAACTGCTAAACAAATTGATTTTTTCTTTTTGATGTTTCAGTTATTGAAGACAGCTCCAAATTCCACTAAATACCTGAAGAGTAAGCTACTACTGCTTGTATTTGAGTTTTTGATGAAAGTCTAGTAAGTTGAATTACAGTTCCTAATTTCTTTTTGGAACAGATATTGTGAGCTTTGGTGAGGTTACAAATGGGGAAAGAGTAGAAGCTGAGAGGCATGGATTAACAATATATTCATGGGACCAATTCTTGAAGCTAGTAAGAGACTCATTTATGTATACTTAAATATCATAAAAAACTCGGAATGCTGAAATATATATGTGTTAATGTTAATTACTTGCAGGGTGAAGGCAAAGATTATGATTTACCAGAGAAGAAAAGAAGCGACATTTGCACCATAATGTATACAAGTGGAACAACTGGTGATCCCAAAGGAGTCTTGCTTACAAATGAAAGCATTATTTACCTTCTTGAAGGTGTTAAAAAATCCCTTAAAACTGTCAACGAACAGGTGACTTGTTGTTTCTTTACATCATATCACTACTTCAATAAATATAAATATATATCAAGTATAGATCACTATAAGATTTTTTTTTTTTTTTTGTTCATTATGTTACAGTTAACCAGCAAAGATGTTTACCTCTCATATCTACCTTTGGCTCACATCTTCGATCGTGTGATTGAAGAGCTTTTTATAAGTGAAGCAGCCTCCATAGGGTTTTGGAGAGGGGTAACTTTGCTATAATATTATTTTTGTTCTTTTATTTACAGAATCTGTTTCATAAGAGAGTTATATAATATTTTTCATAATCTGTTTTTTTTTTCAGGATGTTAAGATATTGATTGAGGACATTTCTGCTCTAAAACCCACTGTTTTCTGCGCTGTTCCTCGCGTGCTAGAGAGAATATACACTGGTAAAGTATAAATACCTTGCAAAACTATTTTTTTTTTAAAACTTGAAAAGCATTACATTAGTATTCTCTGTTTATGTCAATTTTTAGGTCTTCAGCAGAAACTTTCTGATGGTGGTTTCTTAAAGAAGACCTTATTCAACTTTGCATTCAACCAGTAAGTGTACCATTTTTAGATAAAAAATCACAAGTGTTTATATAATTTTAAACTCTGTTTTCTGAAACCTTTTGATTCCTTTTCCAGCAAGCATAGTAACATGGTGAAAGGGAAGGCTCATGAACAAGCAGCTCCATTCTTTGACAAACTTGTATTTAAAAAGGTGAAAAAAAACTAACATATATATCCACAATCTCATCTTGAAACTCTTATTGTTAGAGTAAAACCAAATCTTGAAATACTCTTTCAGGTAAAAGAAGGATTAGGAGGAAGAGTACGTCTAATCCTCTCAGGAGCAGCTCCTCTTGCAGCTCACATCGAATCTTTCCTTCGAGTTGTCGCATGTGCTCATGTTTTGCAAGGATATGGTATGAACAAAACAATGTTAAAAGTTAAAACACATCAAAATCTTGGTCCTAATAATGAAATCTTATGACTCTTTTTGTAGGTCTAACGGAGAGTTGTGGTGGGACATTTGTGTCGATTCCAAATGAGCTTGAAATGCTTGGAACGGTTGGTCCACCGGTTCCAAACGTTGACATAAGGCTCGAGTCAGTCCCAGAGATGGGTTACGACGCTCTTGCAACCAAGCCACGTGGAGAGATATGCATCAGAGGAAAGACTTTGTTCTCTGGATATTACAAACGTGAAGATCTCACTCAAGAAGTCCTCATTGATGGATGGCTTCACACTGGTGATGTCGGTGAGTGGCAACCAGATGGTGCCATGAAAATCATCGACAGAAAGAAGAACATCTTTAAACTGTCTCAAGGAGAGTACGTTGCCGTTGAGAACTTGGAGAACATTTACAGCCACGTAGCCGCCATTGAATCGGTAATGAGCAAATCCGGTTTACGCTTTAGTTACAATTCTGTTTTCTTGGTTTTATAGAGACTGATCTGTTATGAAAACATTTTGCAGATATGGGTATATGGAAACAGCTATGAGGCTTACTTAGTGGCTGTGGTGTGTCCAAGCAAGATACAGATTGAACATTGGGCTAAAGAACACAATGTTTCAGGAGACTTTGAGTCTATTTGTCAAAACCCAAAGACCAAAGAGTTTATCCTTGGAGAGTTCAACAGAGTAGCCAAAGACAAAAAGGTTTATTTTGTTAATTGTTCTTCTTAATTCTTGTTTTTTTTTCCCAACAATCTTTTTAACAAAGAACATTTGTTTATTTTCATTCTTACAGCTGAAGGGATTTGAGCTGATCAAAGGTGTTCATTTGGACACAGTTCCATTTGACATGGAAAGAGATCTCATTACACCTTCTTACAAGAAGAAAAGGCCTCAGCTTCTCAAGTACTATCAGGTAAATTTAAGGTCACTTTATCATCACATAACAACACATTCAAGGCTGGAAATAATGCAACTTAATGACAAGAGATTATGTTTCTTAACCTCTGTTCTTGTTTACGCAGGAAGAGATTGATGAAATGTATAACAAGGCAAAGAAGTGAAGCTATTATACTACTATGCATTCAGAGTGAAGAATGAATTTGTTTGACAAAATCTCAGGTTTATGTATATTTCTTTTCACTGTAAATCATATTTGTTATGCCCTTGTGATGTGTTAATTTCGAAGCTGCTTGTGCCAAAGATAAACAATTACGTCATCATTTTATTTTTTGCTTGTAAAACAACATGGCCTCCTTGTGTTTTGTGTATTTGTATTTATATTGTAACAAAAAAAAAAAATCTGTATGAACCCACAAACGTATAATTAATTTCTATGTTAGCACTTTCTTAGTCATCGAGAAGAGAAAAGCTACCGTTGATTGTTTTTTGTTTTCGCTTTGATTGATCCTGAGCCGTTGATTTAACGAGAAATGCCAAACAAAAAAGGAAGAAACGAAGAATCCGACGGCGGGGAATGAGAGATGTTTTATTAAACCACAAAAATAATAATGGAGGAGCGGGGAATCGAGGCCGTGCCTCTCGCATGCATGCGAAGCGAGCGCTCTACCATATGCGTCACATGAGGTTGATCTTTCAAAAAAAACTTGTACTATAAATACATGAAGAGGTGATGCAGAGGAGGGTAAGCAAAAACAAGAAGCAAACATGTTTTGTAGAGAGTCGTCGTCGTCAAGTCTCCAGACCTTGAGTGTAGCCAAGAGTCTCAGCTCTCTGTTTGTTAAACCATCAGCACTCATCAACCAGATTTCGGCAGGACGTCGAGACAAGTGGTGTCGACGTCGTCCAAACCTCGGAGTATGACGATGTAAGGTCACAGCCTCACAGCCTAATAATATCGATCATAGAGTCAAAGGTAACATAGTGAAAAAACAACAAATTGAAAAAGTCAAAGTAAAGGGATCCATAACGGCCCAACAAGGGCTTGGGGGCATCCTCGAGAACAATGACGGCAAATCACTGCTCCTCATCGAGCTTATTAGCGCCAATATTGACCGCCGTGAGTACATATTAATTATTCACACACATATTGTTTTAAAGAAATATTACGCTAGCAAATTTGGAGTATTTTATATTGATACTTATCATATGTCAGGGACGCACATGGAAAAGGATCCGGTAGAAGAGTATGCAAAATGCGTACGGTCCTTAGGCCTTGATGAGAAGTACGAGTGCGAGTTTGACATGCCCGGAGACTTTGGAACCGTGGGGGCCATCAGGGTTCAAAACCAGCATCATAGCGAGATGTTCATCAAGGAGATGGAGCTTGAGTTGCCAAGTGGCGCCTCCGTCACGTTTACATGTCATATTCTTCTCAAACAAGCAGGGGCGGAGCTAGAAATCATTTTGAAGGGGGTCAAAATAAAAAAAAAAACTAAAAAACATTGTTTATAAATTGCCAAACAAAAAAATTGTATCAAAACAAAAAAAAACTATGACAATATAGTTCATAAACTGTCAAATGAAAAAGAAAAAAAAGTCTACAAATGCATTCTACGATCACTCATTGCTTGAAATCTTCTTGTCACTTGTTCATTTGTTACATCGTCATATAATTCTTTTTCGATGTAACAAATAAGACTATCACTTAGAAACTGATCACCCATACGATTTCGTAGCTTAGTCTTCACAATCTTCATTCCAGAAAAACATCTCTCAACCGTTGCAGTAGCAACAGGCAAAACCAAAGCTAGCTTCAAAAGTCTATAAACCAAATAATGTGAAAGATGTTTCTTAGTTTCTACTAACACCCTTGCTAGATCTCCAAGATTTTTCAAATCAGCAAACCTTTCATCTTCTCGCACATTATCGATATAAATATCAAGTTGGTGCTCAAGAGAAATGCACTCCACACGGCTGAAATCCTCAGGATAAAACTCAGCCAATCTCATCAGCTTTATTTTGTCATACTGACAGAATAAATCGATAGGATTTAAAGCCGATATGCAGATGAGCAATTCAGAATTTACCTCGTTAAAGCGATCATTGAACTCCAAAAGCTGAATATCCAACACATAGTAAAAACAGTCAACTTGGAAATGACGCAAGTTTGTGAAGTTGGTCCGCATGCGTGGCCTCCTCGGATCGATATACTCATCTTCCATGTTGAGAATTTCAGTGTCGTGCTTCTTACAAAAATCAGAAACCTTCTTCACAAAAGAATCCCAGCCATCATCTCTTAACTTTTGTAACTGTCGCTTAGTGGATTCCACTAGTGAAACAGCATTTGCAATGTCTTGGTTTTTTTTTTGTAATGCCATTGATAGATTCTCTGTGAGTCCCAATATATGCAGCATCAAGTGTAGATAGACCACAAAATCAAAACTATGAATGTATTTGAGAATACCATTTGCTTGACGCTTCTTGGTATTATCTATACCTTCATCCTGGACATACCTAAGCACCTTAACCACAGAAGCAAATAAGTCCACCAACCGCAACAACGTTTTATAATGAGAACCCCACCGTGTAGCTCCTGGTCTTTGAAGTGAAGACTCTTGATTCAACCCTTTTCCAGTCTTGATTTCACCACTACTTATTCCTTCCTCATTGATCTCTCGTTGACTATCTCTGATCTTATCTTTTCTCTTGCAAGAAGCTCCAGCCACGTTTACTAACAAAGAAACCATATCGAAAAAGTTTCCTACTTCAAGATGATTCTTTGCAACAGCAACAACAACCAATTGAAGCTGGTGAGCGAAACAATGGACATAGTATGCACAGCTACTCTCTCTTGAAATCAACGCTCTTAGTCCATTGAATTCACCCCTCATATTTCCTGCTCCATCATAGCCTTGGCCTCTAACTTTTTTCAAACTCAATCTGTACTTAGCAAGTAATGAATCAATACCAGATTTCAGAGTTGAGGAACATGTATCCTTCACATGAATCAGACCAACAAACCTCTCTTTCACTATCCCATGTTTATCAACAAAACGAAATACTATAGCCATCTGCTCTTTCTCCGAAGAGTCAGCGGATTCATCCACCAATAGAGCAAAAACATCATGATCAATTTCTTGAATTATGGAACTGATTACTTCTTCTGAAAAGCAATGAACAATGTCTTTTTGAATTGGATGAGACACCATCTGATTATTTCCAGGAGCGTTCTTCAGCACAACTTTATCCACGGCTTCATTTTGTTGTGCAGTATACTTCAGTACCGCCAAAAAGTTTCCTTGGTTACTAGAATCCTCTGTCTCATCATGACCGCGAAATGGCAATCCTTGCCTCAGTAACAATCTAGAAGAATCGACAGAAGCATTTAGCCGAATACGATACTGATTTTTCATAACATCAGTTTGTTTCTGGAAAGCATGTGCAATTGACTGGCCTTGTCTCACCAAATCTTCACATTTCTTCTTAGCTTTATGGTGAAAGCTATTTATAAGACGTCCGTGAGCAGCCAATGTCTCATACTTATTCCAATTATGAAACCCTTCTGTCACAAATGCAGCATTTCCACCTTTATTGTCGTTGTTATCTCTGAATAAGTAACAACACAAACAATATGCCTTCTCTTTCTTCACACTGTATTCCAACCAATCATGAAATTCATCAAACCACTGGAGATTAAATCGCCTTAATGTATTTCCTATTGATCGCTGTTTAAAAGGATGGCCACGAGGTTGACAAGGTCCTCTAAGCCAATATGTGCGTCTCACCTCATCTCTTTGATTAGGATGATATTCCAGTATTCCTTTTCTTTCACCAGGATCTTCAGGGAAGTCATTTAAATTGATAGGATCTGGAGCAGTTCTTTTCACAAATCGATCCATAAGTAATCTGATGGATTTTGTGAAAGTAAATTGGTTAGTTCAAGTTACAAAACTATTAAACTAATTCGAAATCTCCAATTTTACAACAACAAAACTGCTATATTAAACTATAGTATACTATATACTAAAAGCAAGAAGTTCTTACATGGAAATTGGAATTTTCTCTTTTATCGACGGAAGGAGAGGGAGACGAAGGAGAAGTTTAATAGGTTTGTCTTTCGTCTTTTACAGCAATAGAATTAGGTAAATTTGTATAATTCTAAATTGAAACGTAGCTTTATTATAAGCCCATCGTAAGCCCAAGTAATTTTTATGATCCTTTACTTAAACTTTTAGAATAATATTTTAGGGGGGTCAACTATTATTTATAAACAGGGTCAATAATTTTTTTTAATAAGTAATAAAAAAAGAAAAAAAAAATCAGTGGTGGTCAACTGACCACCCTAAGCCCTTACTAGATCCGCCCCTGCAAACAAGTCATACTTACCTTCCGAAACCCCGGAGCCTCTTAAGAAGCTGCGAAAGGAGGAGCTGGAGACCTTGCAAGGCAAGAACCGCCAGGGAGATGGTGAGTTTGCCAAGTACGAGCGCGTTTACGACTATGACGTGTACAACGATGTGGGCGACCCTGACGGAGATGAGGAACTTGCACGTCCAGTTCTTGGAGGCCTTGATCATCCGTACCCAAGGCGGTGCAAGACTGGTCGGCAAGCCTGCGACAAGGACCCCTCCACAGAGAAACGCCCCGGCGAGGAGTTCTATGTCCCGAGAGACGAGGAGTTCTCTACATCCACGGGCATTGAGTTCCTGGGCAAGCTCACCTTGGCAACTCTTCCTTCCTTTTTACCGATGATCGACGAAGCTCTGCTGAATCCGGACTCTTCCTTCCTAAACTTCAAGGCCATCGAAAATCTCTTTGCAGAAGGGAAGTTTCGCAAGAATGCAATTTACAATTTTCTTGTTGGTACTGAAAAGCTTCGACGCTTTCATCCCCCTGATCTCATTAAGAGTACGAACCTCCCTCTCTCCTAATTTATTTATATTATTCTAGTTCTAGCTACAATTTAATCTCCCTTTTTCTTATATATCATTCACAAATTGATTCAGAGGATAGATTTTCATGGTTTGGAGACGAAGAGTTTGGTCGCCAGACTCTTGCAGGCCTTAATCCCTACTGCATTCAGCTAGTTCAAGTAAGCTGTATATATACGCCTTTTAACAAATAGAGTTTGTTCCTATAAAGCTACTAAACACATATGTACATGTATAAATTGTTGGCATAGGAGTGGCCGTTAAAAAGCAAACTAGACCCTGCGGTTTATGGTGATCCCAACTCACTCATTACTCATGAAGTTGTGGAAAAAGAACTCAAAGGAGTCATGTCAGTTGATGAGGTTAGTTTAATTTGATAGGACATTACATTGTTATGTTCCTTCTGTTCTCTAATAAGTCGTTTTTTAGATAATTTATTTTGTTCACAAATAAGTTGTCTTCTCACATATCAATGTAAAAATTAATGTATTTTTGTTGTTTTAACTGTTTGAATTTTGCAGATTATTATTTTATTGGTTGAATTGTGTTGAAGTTGATGATAAAACATGTTTTATTTTGTAAAATAAAAAATAAAAAAATAATTATTTATTATTCTGTGTGTATAAGCCTAAAATGCCATTTATTAGAGAACAAATGAAGTACATATTTCATTATGTGCACACCAAAAGAAAATATTTTTATATTTCATTAATGAATGATGAATGGGGATGTATGCAGGCTCTAAAGAACAAGAAATTGTTCATGTTGGATTATCACGATTTGCTACTACCGTATGTGAACAAAGTGAGAGAACTGGATGACACAACCCTATATGCATCTCGAACACTATTCTTCCTCCAAGATGATAGCACATTAAAGCCTATTGCTGTTGAGTTGACTCGTCCCCAAGATGTCGACATGCCCCAGTGGAAGCAGGTGTTCACGCCAGGCTATGGAGTCTTGCTAAGATTCATGCGGTTTCTCATGACGTCGGTTATCACCAGCTTATTTCCCACTGGTATTTGAACAAAAGTCTTGTTTTATAACTGCATATATATATATGTGTTATCACTAACTAGTAAATGGAAAAATGAACAGGCTGAGGACTCACTGCTCTATGGAGCCATACATAATAGCGGCAAACAGACAACTAAGTGCCATGCATCCCATTTATAGGCTTTTGTATCCCCACTTCCGCTACACCATGAAGATCAACGCTAGTGCACGCAAAGGTCTCGTCAACGCAGGTGGAATCATTGAGAATAATTTCTGGCCCGGAAAATATTCATTAGAGCTAAGTTCAGATGTATATGCTAAACTCTGGAGGTTCGACAAGGAAGGCTTACCCGCAGACCTCATCAGCAGGTAAACTCATCATACACAATATACTGCTTTGTTCCTTGATATTTTTTTTTTAGAAGATAAAAAATTAGGGTTTATTAGGGGGCTGGCTGTGGAAGATAAGACCGCAGAACATGGGGTACGCCTGACAATACCAGACTACCCGTTTGCCAATGACGGTCTAATGCTGTGGGATGCACTCAAGGAATGGATAACAGACTATGTGAATCACTATTATCCAAATGCAGAATTGATCACATCGGATGAGGAACTCCAAGAATGGTGGAGAGAAGTAAAGAACGTAGGGCATGCGGACAAGAAAGACGAACCATGGTGGCCTGACCTCAAAACACCATATGACTTGATCGGGATAGTGACTACGATTGCATGGGTAGCCTCAGGCCACCATGCAGCTGTTAACTTCGGACAGTACGGTTATGGAGGATACTTTCCCAACCGACCAACCACAACAAGGATAAAAATGCCAGTGGAAGATCCCACAACGGAGGAGTCAAGAGAGTTCTTGGAAACGCCAGAACAGGTGATGCTTAAGACATTCCCGACGCAGAACCAGGCGATGAAAGTGATGATCACTCTGGATCTTTTGTCGACCCATTTTCCTGGCGAAGAGTACATAGGCGAAGTACCCGAGGCATCTTGGGTCAACGATCCTGTCATCCATGCTGCATATGAAAGATTCAAAGCCAAGCTCGAATACCTAGAAGGAGTGATAGATGGGAGGAACTTGGACGCTGAACTAAAGAATAGAGTGGGAGCTGGCGTGGTTAAGTACGAGCTTTTAAAGCCCGTCTCTCCTGACTCCGGTGTTACCGGAATGGGTGTTCCTTATAGTATTTCCATTTGATCACCCTCAATTTCTGTATTTCTTTCTTTGTCAACAAACAAAAATAAAACCAAGTACTACCTCGATTAACTACCATATTTCATATTTTACTTAGCACATCACTTAAAACACCACTATCGCATCACTTAATCACAACAATTTCACATAAGATGTTCAATCCAAATATGGGTTTGGTTTCGGTTTTAAGAAAAAATAGCTATCATATTAAAACTATACTTGTTACAAATAATATTTTGAAATTTAATTGATCCAACCATTTTCCATTGTCAAAGAATTTCCAAGAAAGCAAAAAAAAAAAAAAAAAAAAATCAAAAAAATCAAAATTTTCAAAATTTGGAAAAACTCAAAGGGGTTAGCCCACAATTCTGAGAAAATTGATGCATTTTGAGGTTTTTGTAAATTAATGAATGGAATAGTGTCTAAAGTGATATTAAATTGATCCAACCATTTTCCAGTGTAAAAGAGTGTCCAAGAAAGCCAAATAAAACACTATTTCAATTTTTTCAAAATTTGGAAAAACTCAAAGGGGTTAGCCCACAAATTCTGAGAAAATTGATGCATTTTGAGGTTTTTGTAAATTAATGAATGGAATGTGTCTAAGTGATATTAAATTGATCCAACATTTTCAGTGTAAAAGAGTGTCCAAGAAAGCCAAATAAAACATTATTTCAATTTTCAAAATTTGGAAAAACTCAAAGGTTAGCCCACAAATTCTGAGAAAATTGATGCATTTTGAGGTTTTTGTAAATTAATGAATGGAATGTATCTAAAGTGATATTAAATTGATCCAACCATTTTCCAGTGTAAAAGAGTGTCCAAGAAAGCCAAATAAACACTTTTTTTTTTCAAAATTTGGAAAAACTCAAAGGGTTAGCCCACAAATTCTGAGAAAATTGATGCATTTTGAGGTTTTTGTAAATTAATGAATGAATGTGTCTAAAGTGATATTAAATTGATCCAACCATTTTCCAGTGTAAAAGAGTGTCCAAGAAAGCCAAATAAAACATATTTCTTTTTTCAAAATTTGGAAAAACTCAAAGGGGTTAGCCCACAAATTCTGAGAAAATTGATGCATTTTGAGGTTTTTGTAAATTAATGAATGGAATGTGTCTAAAGTGATATTAAATTGATCCAACCATTTTCAGTGTAAAAGAGTGTCCAAGAAAGCCAAATAAAACATATTTCAATTTTCAAAATTTGGAAAAACTCAAAGGGTTAGCCCACAAATTCTGAGAAAATTGATGCATTTTGAGGTTTTTGTAAATTAATGAATGGAATGTGTCTAAAGTGATATTAAATTGATCCAACCATTTTCCAGTGTAAAAGAGTGTCCAAGAAAGCCAAATAAAACACTATTTCAATTTTTTCAAAATTTGGAAAAACTCAAAGGGTTAGCCCACAAATTCTGAGAAAATTGATGCATTTTGAGGTTTTTGTAAATTAATGAATGGAATGTGTCTAAAGTGATATTAAATTGATCCAACCATTTTCCAGTGTAAAAGAGTGTCCAAGAAAGCCAAATAAAACACTATTTCAATTTTTTCAAAATTTGGAAAAACTCAAAGGGGTTAGCCCACAAATTCTGAGAAAATTGATGCATTTTGAGGTTTTTGTAAATTAATGAATGGAATGTGTCTAAAGTGATATTAAATTGATCCAACCATTTTCCAGTGTAAAAGAGTGTCCAAGAAAGCCAAATAAAACACTATTTCAATTTTTTCAAAATTTGGAAAAACTCAAAGGGGTTAGCCCACAAATTCTGAGAAAATTGATGCATTTTGAGGTTTTTGTAAATTAATGAATGGAATGTGTCTAAAGTGATATTAAATTGATCCAACCATTTTCCAGTGTAAAAGAGTGTCCAAGAAAGCCAAATAAAACACTATTTCAATTTTTTCAAAATTTGGAAAAACTCAAAGGGGTTAGCCCACAAATTCTGAGAAAATTGATGCATTTTGAGGTTTTTGTAAATTAATGAATGGAATGTGTCTAAAGTGATATTAAATTGATCCAACCATTTTCCAGTGTAAAAGAGTGTCCAAGAAAGCCAAATAAAACACTATTTCAATTTTTTCAAAATTTGGAAAAACTCAAAGGGGTTAGCCCACAAATTCTGAGAAAATTGATGCATTTTGAGGTTTTTGTAAATTAATGAATGGAATGTGTCTAAAGTGATATTAAATTGATCCAACCATTTTCCAGTGTAAAAGAGTGTCCAAGAAAGCCAAATAAAACACTATTTCAATTTTTTCAAAATTTGGAAAAACTCAAAGGGGTTAGCCCACAAATTCTGAGAAAATTGATGCATTTTGAGGTTTTTGTAAATTAATGAATGGAATGTGTCTAAAGTGATATTAAATTGATCCAACCATTTTCCAGTGTAAAAGAGTGTCCAAGAAAGCCAAATAAAACACTATTTCAATTTTTTCAAAATTTGGAAAAACTCAAAGGGGTTAGCCCACAAATTCTGAGAAAATTGATGCATTTTGAGGTTTTTGTAAATTAATGAATGGAATGTGTCTAAAGTGATATTAAATTGATCCAACCATTTTCCAGTGTAAAAGAGTGTCCAAGAAAGCCAAATAAAACACTATTTCAATTTTTTCAAAATTTGGAAAAACTCAAAGGGGTTAGCCCACAAATTCTGAGAAAATTGATGCATTTTGAGGTTTTTGTAAATTAATGAATGGAATGTCTAAAGTGATATTAAATTGATCCAACCATTTTCCAGTGTAAAAGAGTGTCCAAGAAAGCCAAATAAAACACTATTTCAATTTTTTCAAAATTTGGAAAAACTCAAAGGGGTTAGCCCACAAATTCTGAGAAAATTGATGCATTTTGAGGTTTTTGTAAATTAATGAATGGAATGTGTCTAAAGTGATATTAAATTGATCCAACCATTTTCCAGTGTAAAAGAGTGTCCAAGAAAGCCAAATAAAACACTATTTCAATTTTTTCAAAATTTGGAAAAACTCAAAGGGGTTAGCCCACAAATTCTGAGAAAATTGATGCATTTTGAGGTTTTTGTAAATTAATGAATGGAATATGTCTAAAGTGATATTAAATTGATCCAACCATTTTCCAGTGTAAAAGAGTGTCCAAGAAAGCCAAATAAAACACTATTTCAATTTTTTCAAAATTTGGAAAAACTCAAAGGGGTTAGCCCACAAATTCTGAGAAAATTGATGCATTTTGAGGTTTTTGTAAATTAATGAATGGAATGTGTCTAAAGTGATATTAAATTGATCCAACCATTTTCCAGTGTAAAAGAGTGTCCAAGAAAGCCAAATAAAACACTATTTCAATTTTTTCAAAATTTGGAAAAACTCAAAGGGGTTAGCCCACAAATTCTGAGAAAATTGATGCATTTTGAGGTTTTTGTAAATTAATGAATGGAATGTGTCTAAAGTGATATTAAATTGATCCAACCATTTTCCAGTGTAAAAGAGTGTCCAAGAAAGCCAAATAAAACACTATTTCAATTTTTTCAAAATTTGGAAAAACTCAAAGGGGTTAGCCCACAAATTCTGAGAAAATTGATGCATTTTGAGGTTTTTGTAAATTAATGAATGGAATGTGTCTAAAGTGATATTAAATTGATCCAACCATTTTCCAGTGTAAAAGAGTGTCCAAGAAAGCCAAATAAAACACTATTTCAATTTTTTCAAAATTTGGAAAAACTCAAAGGGGTTAGCCCACAAATTCTGAGAAAATTGATGCATTTTGAGGTTTTTGTAAATTAATGAATGGAATGTTCTAAAGTGATATTAAATTGATCCAACCATTTTCCAGTGTAAAAGAGTGTCCAAGAAAGCCAAATAAAACACTATTTCAATTTTTTCAAAATTTGGAAAAACTCAAAGGGGTTAGCCCACAAATTCTGAGAAAATTGATGCATTTTGAGGTTTTTGTAAATTAATGAATGGAATGTGTCTAAAGTGATATTAAATTGATCCAACCATTTTCCAGTGTAAAAGAGTGTCCAAGAAAGCCAAATAAAACACTATTTCAATTTTTTCAAAATTTGGAAAAACTCAAAGGGTTAGCCCACAAATTCTGAGAAAATTGATGCATTTTGAGGTTTTTGTAAATTAATGAATGGAATGTGTCTAAAGTGATATTAAATTGATCCAACCATTTTCCAGTGAAAGAGTGTCCAAGAAAGCCAAATAAAACACTATTTCAAAATTTTAAAACTATTTCAATTTTTTCAAAATTTGGAAAACCAAAGGGGTTAGCCCACAAATTCTGAGAAAATTGATGCATTTTGAGGTTTTTGTAAATTAATGAATGGAATGTGTCTAAAGTGATATTAAATTGATCCAACCATTTTCCAGTGTAAAAGAGTGTCCAAGAAAGCCAAATAAAACACTATTTCAATTTTTTCAAAATTTGGAAAAACTCAAAGGGGTTAGCCCACAAATTCTGAGAAAATTGATGCATTTTGAGGTTTTTGTAAATTAATGAATGGAATGTGTCTAAAGTGATATTAAATTGATCCAACCATTTTCCAGTGTAAAAGAGTGTCCAAGAAAGCCAAATAAAACACTATTTCAATTTTTTCAAAATTTGGAAAAACTCAAAGGGGTTAGCCCACAAATTCTGAGAAAATTGATGCATTTTGAGGTTTTTGTAAATTAATGAATGGAATGTGTCTAAAGTGATATTAAATTGATCCAACCATTTTCCAGTGTAAAAGAGTGTCCAAGAAAGCCAAATAAAACACTATTTCAATTTTTTCAAAATTTGGAAAAACTCAAAGGGTTAGCCCACAAATTCTGAGAAAATTGATGCATTTTGAGGTTTTTGTAAATTAATGAATGGAATGTGTCTAAAGTGATATTAAATTGATCCAACCATTTTCCAGTGTGAAAGAGTGTCCAAGAAAGCCAAATAAAACACTATTTCAATTTTTTCAAAATTTGGAAAAATTTCAATTTTTCAAAATTTGGAAACAAAGGGGTTAGCCCACAAATTCTGAGAAAATTGATGCATTTTGA